TTCCTCTACTACTTCCCCAGTTAGGATGAGGTGTGAGACTGAACCAAGCCAATCTTGCAACAGCATTTTACACTTTGAAGGTACGAAACGCATACCGAACACAGCTACACTAGCACTCAGTAAATTGTATCTTACGTGAATTTCCCCAACGCTCCTTTTTACAGTATGCTGTTTGCCGATGAGGTTTTTCCCTTTTAGTGTCTTTCACACTTTGTTTAATAAAATGGAGTGAGAGACAGAGAGACAAAGCTCTGTTATCAAGCACGGTGTTTGTCGTGTGAGGTAATGTGTGTAATTATCCGTCCTGCTTGGTCTACTCCATACTGGGCAGTTCACGTACACGTTAATTTCTTCAGTCTGTTCTCGATCAACAATCCAAACTCGCCACTTTCACCTTGATTTAGAGCATGTACACGACGTACCTCCACGGAGATACAAACCCGACAGAGTAAGCCTTTCTCAAAGTTAGCAAATCTGCCTACGGCCAAGGTTGGGTGACGGTGAAGAGGTTCGATTCTTGGACCACAGGGTCCCAAGCGTGCTGATCACAAGAACCAAACTTCTGAACCACTACCATTCCGGTGTCTATCTGCAGCCGTGGATGCACACCGTTTAACGTTCTTATTCCTTCTCTTGGTCGAGTGAATTGTAAAACTTGAAAGAACAGCTGCGTCTTTCACATCTGAAGCACATATTTCAAAGTTACCTTCATTCCCTCATTGCTTCTACCCATCGCGATAAGTCAAGATGCTATCTACCTGAATAATGGGAGCTAAGGTGAGAAATGATGGAAAACATTCAGTTTTGTCAGCATTGTTGAATATTCCCCTGCGCTCTATTACCTGTAGGCGATACATTGAGTACAAGCATAAATGAAATATACTTCCTCACCTGATAGTCCATCTAGTGTTTGTACATTTTCATCGATTTGTACAAAACTGCATTTCAACCGAACTATACATCGTACATAAAACAGTGGAGTAAAACTTGTGCTCACTATGCCATAACTAAAAGTCGCTTGTCCTTTGATAATATTTAAAATCTTTGCTAATAGTTTGTGGATTGTACTTCTTCGTTTTCATGCAAACATAAGAGGGTAATAGATGCTGCCTTCAACAGATCCTCCCCTTCTTTTTCACAATTTACTCACCCGGACACCCTTTCTTTTCCCGAAATTATTTATGACGTCCACAGTTCCAGGCCGGTCAACTCGATGTAGTTGTTCGCTTGTTACTATCCCCTTCATTCCTGATACACCGACTGCGTTCTGGTCAAGGAAGTTTGCTTCTGGAAGACTTTCAAGGTCATTGTAAGTTATACTTTCTATACTGAACTAGTCAAGCAGATATGTGCACTATTCTATTACTTGCTATTACTTATTGTAACGATAAATTAATTGTTTTTATTACACACCCACATCTGATGAACAGCAGACGGGGCGAACCCCATAGTCACGAGGACCTGCTGTTCCATGGTGGAAACAGGCAACCTAAGCCCCAGGACTTGGAGTGGCGAACCACATAAGGCCCCTATATGTGAGGCGTGGTATTGAACCGGTCGACAGCAGAGCTGCCTGCCACCAAAGTCGGGTGGCGGTGGCGGGGCTCGCACCTTAAGGTTCACAGCACGCCGGTGACAGCGACTGAACCACTGCTCCACCTTCCTCTAAGACTCAGGCTTTCATCTAATCTTTATATTTGGTTTTACTCTAGTCAGCAGACTGTATATGTTTAAATTGTTGAAGGATCAGTAGCCTCTGTGGAATGGGAACCCAAATACAGATTCCGGTTGCACTTTTAACACAGGCACGTTCCACCAGCTGAGCTACGGGGCTACATCGACGGAACCGAACTTTTCACATTTGAATCAATCTGCTATAAACATAGGCGTGTGGAATCCATCAGTGAAACTGGTGAATTCCTATTACGTACAAATATCGGACGGTTGATCCAAGTGTGGGATCAATATCCACTGTGTGGCCTCGTGGATCAGCTGGTAGGGCGTGTTCAACAACCCGTTAACTGCTAACTTAATGATCATTGCCATATTGGGGAATTTTCTTTCTCTGATACAACGTTCACCATAAAATAGAGTTACGGATAATTCGATTCTGTTTTGAGGTCTCTCTTTGACGATTTCCTCATAGAGTCGTTCACCCTCGCTATTTGCACGTTTTCTGCAACAAACCCGCTCACATATGGCCTCACTCATTATATGCACCTATTTTTTTCTTACTAATTGGGCTTCTTACACCGACCCTCGTTTATTTAATTTGTCAAACCATTTATTAAATGGGGTGTTGTTATCTACGGTTACTTTGTGTACATCCTGAAGCGAACGACTAGGAACATTCAGGTTACTAGTTTTAATTTATTTTTTGTTTTTTGATCTTCGTACCTTTTAAATATACATGACCTCTTGCTTGATTGATAAGCACTGAATTCAATTGGCAATCAATGCGCTCTGCATCGATCAAACTATTACGTCTGACAGAAAACTGTGGAGTGGTAGATCAGCCTATTAATACGTCCGCCATTCTATGGTTCTTTTTGAATCTAGCCACGTCGGACCTCGAAATTCAAAATGGTTGGATAAGCCGCACCCGTCATGGTCCATTGGCCGACAGACTGTCCGCGATGCGCCAATTTGTCGCAACTAATTCTTCAATTCTTACGAAGTGAGTGCTTCGTTTCTTCCCAAATCTTTTGTACTCTTCAGTTTTAACAACCTGTTACTTTTACCTATCCTCGATTTGTTGCAGTTATTCTGTGCTCTAGAGAACTCGCAGCCCTTTGATTGACCGCTTCACCCTTCGTGAAGGTTGTATCATTGTGCATTCAATACAAGGAAGTCAAAATGAAAAAGAACAATAGGTTATTCTCAAAATAAATCCGCAACCCGAATCACAAAGCTATGGTGTAACTCACTCGTCGTCGAATCGAGCCGATGATCGTAGCTGCCCCTAAAATTCCTGGTGGTCATCCGCATGTCTCCTCCTGGAAGGTTTGAAACTGAAGGTTTTGATTCTCCTAGATGGCCTAAACTACCGGTTTACTCCAAACGTTCACGCGATGGGAACAGTCTTTTCTTCTTCGGCTGTGCTTCACCGGATTACTCTTTTAGATGAGATTGGAGTCAGTCGCCAGTGGACGAAATCTTGTATAAGGCGACATACCAAATGAGCATTCAGTATCTATAAGGTGGCATTGAAGAAGGTCATGTTCATCTGTTGAATACGTTAGGAAATGCTTAAGCGGATATTCTTTGGATTCTAATTTTATTGATCATTGGACATAGTTATGAGCATAATGCAAAATGGTCTAACTTGCATTCATATGTTTTCTATGAACTGGTTTCATAGTCTCTATAATCAAATCCTTGCGATTTAACCGAAGTGCATCCCGGAAGGCATAGATTGGGCGCTCCTGTTGATAAAGAGAACACGTTTCCACAGAGTCATTCAGGGAAATTTGAATGAAACAATGGGGCCGAGTATAAAATTTATTAGGAGTTTTATAATCTTTTTCAATCTTATATAATTTGAGGTATTCAACCACTTTTCCCCCTAAGATTATGGTACTGTAAATGTACAACGCAAGAACATTCATTTACCTTCATTCTCGTGCATTTACTAGATACCCAGTGCTTTTTACACAGCTTGCTGCAAATTACGAGGCGAGTCCATGGATTCGCCAACTCGGATTGTCGCAACTCCAGTCTGAGATCGACTCGTCCGATGTCAATCGGTTCCATTTCCTCGTAAGACGTCAAGCAGAGACCGATGCCCGTGCGCTAATGCCGCACACAATTCATCAACCTACAGAAGTAGCTACCGTAGTCGCCCTCAGTCCCGACAGTCATGTACTGGTGTATGGTACCATAGCAGGCGCTATTTCTGTGGTCGATGCTAGCACACTGCGGGTACGTACCTTTCTATACTTTCGATTCACCTCATTCGCGTTTGCCGTAATGTTGCACTCTGCTGATTGGTTTACCTTTACAAAACTTTTTAATCATACAGTGCTGGGTAATATGCCTTTAAGTAACAATGGGTAAGTTTGTAGTGCATATTACGAATGAATTATGTTTGTGGTAGAAATTTTGATTTAAAGTTCCCTCATAAGGTGAGTTGCGGCGAAAAAAACCATCAATTTTATATTTTCCCGGACTTTATAAGCACTGGGTACAAATGGTATAACAAGAATCCAAACGGTGAAGTGAACACCGAAATCTTTTACGTCACAAACCTATATTCTATGTGCAGTTATATTCCTTCGTTCTCCGTGGATGCAGCTACGTCGTTGGGTAAGATGTTTTCACGAGCGAGGATGTTAGGAATTGCTACCGGTTGCTGGTTGGCACGAATTGAACTTGCCTGTCAATAAGTATATATTTATATTTCACACACGCTGGGGCCAGACTATTTGCCAAACAAATCACGTTACAATAATCTTTGTAAAAAGAAGAACGCTCCACGATTTGCATATGGGCGGAATACTTCCAGGTTGCCCAGGCCAAGGCAGGGGAGTTTTATTGAGGAATACACAACCATGGCCTTCAGCTAGCTAAAGCCTGCCAGCAATGCAGCGGGGCGGCGTGTGAAAACCGCAACCCTTTGGGGGCCAGTGTCCAGTTCATCGGATCATACGCCCTTTGAACGGGGTCAAACGTCCAAGGGCCCCATTACACCTTGATGCCCGAACAAGCCGTTGACAGGTGTCACAACCGGGAAAGTAAGTGTGGTTCGTGTGTCTCCTCTTGGTTTGTTTGAAATCAGGGTTTTTGGCCAACTCCCCTAGGTGAACTACCAGTAGTCCACCAACCCGGATGTCGGCTATTTATCCTCTCTTTTTATTGGGAAACCCCTCATCGACGAAAACGCAGTGAGTAGGTATTATTCCCGGCGGAAGTTATTAGAGACGATTGGTCACATGGTGTAAGGAATTGGTGATCAGTCGCAACTCTGGACACCCACCCCGACCATAATGAGGCTTTCTGAGGTTGTCGGTAGGTGCCATCACTAGTTCTAACAGCGTGTAAGCACACTCCCGGTTGACAAGCTGTCTGATCTGGAGTATGCAGACGACATAGTGCTGCTAATTGTAGATGCAGGTAAGTTGCAAGCTTTTCTAGACAGCTTGAGCGCCAATGTAACCATGTTCGGTATGCGTTTTTCACCTTCCAAGTGTAAAATGTTACTACAGGACTGGGTTCGTACAGCATTCATCTCCACTCTAACTGGGGAAGTAATAGTAGGATAGGATAATTTTTTATTTTTACAGCTACATTTCATCCGGTGGACGCATTGCTGATGGATGGTTGCGGGTATGTAGAAGGCTCGGTTGACATTTGCCAACTTGAGACATATGTGGCGCCGTCGTGACATGTCGTTGCCTGTGAAGGGTCGAATATATGCCGGATCAGTTCGGCCAGTTTTGCTATACGGTGCAAAAACTTGCCCGCTTACGAAACAAAATAAAGGTAGACTATCAGAGTTTGAACACCGCTGTCTACGCAGCATTGTCCGAATCTGGTGGGACAGCCGGGCGAGCAATGCTAAGTTTAGTTGTAAAGTACATCACGACGAGACTGTACCTTGACGTGGTGTGATGGCTTGCGTGCCTCCATGGCCCTGCGAGCTACAGGATGGCGTTTCACAGCCGTAGATCCAACCATGTCTAAATGGTCAACATTTAAGAGCCAGACGAAGCTGTCTCACCAATTCAGCTGCTTGTGCACCTCCTGGCTTCTTTCGTCTAGCCCCTGGAGAGGTAACTCCGACCAACAAACACGGTGAGGGGCAGTTTACTGGTCTAAAAAAACCCACTAGGTGGTTGTAGGAACAAGGTACCTGGGGGTTCGTCTTGACGGTGGAAAAAGTCTTCGCACTTCATTGGACAGCTACCGCCCGCCTAAGCTGGGCAACCCCCAGCCAATAAGGTGCTGCCCCGTCCACGTTCCGATTGTCTCATTGGGTGTATGAGGCTAACGGTTGATCCCGGTAAGGCGGACCGACCATCAACGCACTAGTGAAGAACAACCTAACCGAAATTCAAAGGTCTTGCGTGACAAGTCTCTAGAATCTCCCACAAGGGTGCTCTGTTCATGCTCTCGCGTTGGATTTCCCCAACTGCCTTGTGGATCGCACTTTCCAGTCGAAGGCTCCGATTATGGTTCCCAATGAAAACTCCACAAATTACCGCTGCCTTGCGGGACAGACTTTTAGTCAAAGGCTCTGGATAGGGCTCCCAAATAAAAACCCTTTCGTCGGTGTGGGCTGCCGCGAAATATGTCGTGCGCTAAAGTCGTAGGTACCCAGTTGGAAAACCGTAATTCTTATCTTTCTAGTTCTTCTCATACCTATATAGTCGCAGGTGCTCGTGTGTACGAGACCCATCGGACATCACTCAGTATTCAACTGATAAGGTCACCAACTCTGAGGCTGCCAGAAATTTTTGAAACTAAAATATCCACGAACCATCAGATTGCTCAACAAGCTGCATGAGCTAGAACCCTTGAAACCTTCCATTTAGATATATGCTGTGTCTCCGAAACACGCATACAAGACCCTACTACAGTCATCTCCTTGCGTTCTCCAGATCCAACCTCATCCTCACGCTTCACTCTCAGTGTTTCAGGCCATTGGGCATCCGAAGCTCGCGGTGTTGGAATCGCGCTAAGTGTCAAGGCCGATCGTTTACTTCTCGACTGGATCCCGGTTAGCAGCCGATTTTGCACTTTACGTTTGGATGGTCCAGCATGAACCAACAACTACAGAACGAAGCGTCGATGTTTGTTTCTCGTATCCGCCTATGCACAAACTGATTGCAGTATACCTGAAATCAAGGGTGAATTCTATAAGGACCTCTCTCAACTGCTCCAAAGGGCTCGATCAACGAACATCGTGGCAGTCGCTGGAGACTTCAATGCTCAAGTGGACGAATCCGAAAGGCTACTTGCTGGTTCACATGCAATCCGGGCTAACCGGACTGCCAACAGAGAACGCCTACTCCAAGTCTGCGCTGACCACGGACTGTCTCTGTCAAGCATGAACTTCTCGCACTTGGAACGGCCCCTGACGTACATGGAAACCGCTAACTTCTTCATAGCGCTAGACTCGGATCTACCGCATCACCATTAGCCATCGCCGGCGTGGATTCATTGAGGTTTGCCGCTCCTACTTGTCAACATGCGTGGACACGAACCATGCCTCGCGACGGTTGCAAATCGGCTTTCGAAACGGAACTATGACATCGGCTCTCAACTGAACCATCAGTCGAAGGACTCAGTGATCACTGGACGACAACACAGAAAGCGATCAAATCAACAGCCAATTCCGGCGCACGATCAGATAAAAAGCAATGCATTTCTCTGACCTCGGTTTCCTTGTTGGACGCTCGCAGAGCCATTTCTTGAGATTCAAAATACATGGCGAGGAATGACCGCGACAAGTGGTGGGTGGGAAAGTGTACAGAGATCAAGAGGTTTGTGGTAATAGTCGCAGTATTTTTCCCTTATTCAGTAGTACTCCACCAAGGAAAGTAGGTATGAGTGAGATAATTAAGGCATCTGACGGCACACTGATTCAAATTCGGGAACGTCGTCTTGACGGTTGGGCACAAAATTTTAATTCACAGTTCAGTTGGTCTCCTTCGACATTAGACCTCCTGCTGACTAGTTCTTCCATGCAAATACTGCAAGCTGACATCAGTCCCCCACCTGAAATGGAGGATTCCCGAGAAATGACGTCATAAGGCTTCCGGCTTTTTAATGATAGAGGTTCAACCTTCGTTTTGAAATTAACGACATTCCTTGAGAAAAAGGTTGCTGTTGAATGATGTGAATCGTTCATCATACCGATTTATAAGAAAAGCGACAGATCCTCCAGTGAAAATCACAGAGGAATACGTGAACAATCCCTTTTGCTTGCACAGTTCGGAGTGGTGGATACGAATAGCTACCACCTCGGCCATAAAACGCATAATCTGCCTTAGTGGTTTGGTCAAATTCATCAGGATTCTGCAGATGACTTCCGACCTCTACCATGTGCACCGTGTTAATAAGATGCTGCACAATTGAGCTACGAATGGCCTTTGATAGCCCTTTTCTCAACCAGGTCTATGATGCTCTTGATATCGTTTGGTCAACTACCGACTGGTACGACCGATGTAACCGACTCCACAGGAGCATGTGAATCGATAGACACAGAAATGGTTGACAGGGCAGTCGATCCTTAAGTCTCTGAACAATGGCCGGATAGGATAAGTATAATATTTTCTTTTCAGCTTCCTAAAATGTGAAGGTTAATGTTCCTGAGAGTCTTCTTTCGAAAATTTCCCTAACACCGTGATAAATAATCGTTTCTAAAGGACGGTGTAGAGTTGGTTTTATTTGCCCTTTCATTTTCATATACTCCTCGATGAACTTTTCTGTATGTCCATTCTGTCAGAAAGTGCTTTGAAGGTGCTCTGATTCGCTCGGTAGGGTTCAAGCGAGCCATCATGCAATGGAATGGTACGGAGAACCAGACGTAGAAAGTATCGGTTTTAGAAGACATTTCGGTACGCCGTATAGAGGTGGGATAACTAAGCCTTGGGGTTTTAGGTTCTCAATTTCCGTCTTTATGATATGCGGCCAACTCTATCCTAAGAATGAGCCATCTCCAACGATGTCTCGACGTTGATTGCCCAAGGCGGCATTCAGCGGCAAGGTTGATCAGACGAATCCAGCTTTGGAAGCCATACGCAGTTTTCAGACCCAGATGTTCTATTTCTTCTTGACTGTGGGATCCAGGTCTCCAACTGAATACCGAGGCGATAATGACATCCCATCCCAATGTTGGGAAGAGAGCTCTTCTCTAAATTTTATTATCGGGACACAAGAGAGCATAGTTAAAACACTAGAGATGACGGTGTTGCGTCAGTGTGAAAAGCTTTTCGGTGGAACAGCGACGCCGGTGGATTTCCTTGTTGGATAATCGATCGTGCCACATTGCGTTCAGAATATACCCACAAACAACAGTGATCGCAAGCCTCAAGTCTGTGAATGTTTCATGCTGTTCATGGCCACGTCCCGTCGCGGTAGCGCAGGATAGGATAGCTGGTAGCTAGGTACGCTAGATTCTTTTGGTTGGCACAAAAAAGTTCTGTGAGACTTTAAATATAGTAATCGCCTTATCCTCATTGTTGGATAATGCTAACTGAAGAACGCGAACCCGGGATAATTCATAAATATTTTGTTCCACAAACCTCCTATCTTTCAACCTTTACCTGCAGTGTTTTTTCGATCACTGTTAAATAGAATTTCTCGTCTAGGAAATATCTTTGATATCCGTGTCGGAAAAAGCTCTATCATTATTTAGATAATAAATTGTTAATTAACTCCTGTATGGTAACTTATTTTTTCTTCTTTAGGAAATTCGTTCCTTCTATGGCCATGGAGGTGCAGTTCTCAGTCTGTGCTTCCTAGAGGACTACCGAACAGCGACGGCCGCCACTTACCGTAAATCACAATCCGAATATAGTTTGGCAAGCACTGCTCAAGACCAAACCGTCTGTTTGTGGCTCATTCAGGGTTTGGGAAACACGGAAGAAAGCGTCGGTCGTCGATTGATATCTTGGACTGGACCACAAAGGCGAGCCATTACTTGTAGTGCCTGGCATCCAGATTTAGGTCTGCTCGCAACCGGTAGTTTGGATTGCACAGTTGTATTGTGGAAGCCACCACGTACGTTGCGGGAACTCAGCCCAAAGCAGACGGAATCAGGCACGTCAGGGTCCTCACGTCCATCTGATTACAGAATTTTAAGCACTCAAAATAGTCCGGTCAGTTCCCTGGTATTTCGGCTTCCAAACGATGCTGCCTCACAACCACAAACTGATTTGGCTGTGGGCTGCTGGGACGGAAAAGTGCGCATTTTCGATTTGACGGAACTACGATTGAAGACGGTAAGTTTTCAACAGTTGATGTTGAACCATATTTATTCAAAACGAAATTGATCACCGGAAGGTGGGTCACAGTGGGGACTTGTATTGCATTCCTTTGCACATTTACTTTGTTATTTGGTCGAGGATTTAGTGCAAGAGTTCTCTTTCGACGTATGAATAGTATGATGAAGTTATCCGTCTGAGCGTGTCTGACATGAAGATTTGGGGGAATCATTGTGCCTTTCTGAAGAGTCTAATGTTTGGTCAAAACAGTCTACGCACTTATTCATGAGGTCGTTGTAATCACGTACATATTTACTTATTAAATAAAGTTTTGACTATCTTAAAGAGTTCATGCTGCTAGATAGTGCTACCGTTTAGGATCATATTGTATGAATACTGCTAATTTATGCGATACGATTCTCTAAA